CAACATGTTAAAATCGTTTTTACCAATAGCAAGATCTCTTGTCTCTATGTAAAAAATCCAACCTATTCAGATTTGAGGATGCAAAGGTTTCATTATGCTTATATTTATAATGATGTATTGGAAATTTTTTTTTTTTATTATGATTGTGAACATTTTATAGTTTTATATGAAATATAATATGGATGTATTATTTATATGGTGAATTTTTTTTTTCAATATTGTCGTAAATGTTAGAAACTATTTTTTTAAGCATTTAAAAACCAAATATTAGAAAATAATATGTTTTGTTGGAAAATATTTTTCTAATATTTAAAAATAAGTTATTTTCCGTAAAACAAATGCAGCCTAAACAAGTAAAGATCAATTTGACTCTTATCAACACTTCTAATTTTCTTTACGTATGTACCACCACCAACTGAAACCCCTTTTTTTTTTTCTTTTATCATAAATATCACCAACCTTAAATCAAAAATAAAATAACAAACTATCTTAACAAATATTTAATAAAAATTTGGTTTTTTAATCAAGGACAAGATTGAAACAAAAAATATTTTATTTAATTTTTTTACCTGACTAATAAAAAATCAATAGAATCTTACTATAATGATTATTTAGTTGAAAACGAAAACAAAATAAAGAGACTATTTGATTGATTTTTTAAAACAGAAATTTTAATTTATAAATTTCATATAAATATAAAGACTAAATAATGGTTTACCCTTAAGCCTAAATCAACTGTTAATAGCACATTGAACTTGCACTCACATATATAATTAGGGGCGTACAAAATCACTGATATTGAACTGAAAATTAAATCAATTCGATTCGGTCAGTTATTCAAAGGAGATTCCATTTGTTGATTTATTCGATTTGAACCAAACTTGTTGTTTGGTTTGAATCGATTTCGTAGAACTGGTTGGGTTTAAAATCGAATTGCCATGACAAAAAAATCCAATTAAACCTAATCGAACTGATTTGATTTGATTCAGTTCAAATGCCAATTTTAATTTCGATTCGGGCTATTGTCAAAAAATTTTGATTTGTATATATACACATATATTATATAGTGGAGATAGCAGAAAATTGATGAGGACAAAATTGAAGTGTTGATGTATCCAGTGGTTATAGGATTGATGTACAACATAATTGACTTGATGAATGATTTACTAGATCATTGACCCTAAGAACATGCATGTTATGTATGTATATTAAGAAACTTAATTCATTAATAGTAATAATTTATCAAGTATTACAAATGCTCGTGTAGATGAGACAGGTCTTTTAATAAATCAAAACAATTGTTTATACTCTTTTGAATAATAAATATTAAAATGAAAGAGATGATATTAGATCTTTCCACTTGAAAATTATTTTGATAAAAAAATCTTTATATTAGTAACTGATCATTTAATTGATTGGATTATAAAATAACTTCTTTTGGATTTTTGTACCTGGATTATTTTTTTAAGAACCTGTTGTATATGATGCACATATATAAGTTGTTGCCTCTATGCTCACTAGCATTAACAGAGGAATAGATTGCACTATCAAACTTCATTGATCGAACATCTACATGCACAAATAAATATCTAAAATTCTTCGGCCAAATAAAATTAAATACCATACTTTTATTTGATAGCAAACTCTCGAAAAGAAGAGACCAAAAAAAGGCTCCAAATACGGAGATAAAGAAAAAAAAAATTATTATGAAAAAAACATATATGAGTTGATTAAAAGCAAACAAAAAAATAGAATTAAGAGTGAAATGTAGGAGCTGGCTAAAAATTAGGGTTACATTGCTAGAGAAAAAGGGGAAGATTTTTTATATTTAGATTGTTTTTCTAAAAACTTATTGTATATGACGTACACATATGAATTCTCACCATTATGTGTCAAAAACATTAATGAAAAAACATATAATACTATCAGGCTCCATTGGTCGAATATACGTCACAAATCAAGATTTAAATTTTCCAATATATATATATATATATAGAGGAAACTTGCCAATTCACTAACAAAAAAGATATTGCTTGAGTGCATCATGATATTTCCACAAGAACAAGAAATACAAATATAGAAAATTGAAACTATTTGGTGATGATGATTTTACTAGGAAAGATTAATCTTCCGAGAAAAAAATTGATCTTGTTTTTCTACATAGGATGACAAAAGAAATTTTCTCAATATTATCCTGAACTTTTTCCTTTTGGAAACTTACAACTATATTTGATGCATGCATAAAAATTTAAAAAATTTTAATAGATATCAGTTTCCATTGATAAAATAAATTTACCCAAACTCAAAAATGTAAAGTTTCTAAATAAAAGAAACTTACCTAAATTTGAAGAGTTTCTAACCACAAACAATTAATAATTCATCTTGCATTTCGAATTCTCAATATAATTTTAAATGAAAATTATTGGGTGCCAATGAAAATTTTAAATGAAAATTTTCTTTGCATTATCTAGATCATATTGGGTGGCAATGAAACTATAATTTCATATTATTTAGATATATAATTATTTCATGGAAAGGCCAAATGTTGAAAGATGTTTATGAAAAAATATATTAATACAATTTATGTATAAATTATACATGAATTAAGCCATAGTTTTCCATAATTCTTTTAGCAATAAATGTAGAAAAATATAGCTAGCAGTATCAATATTTTAATTCTAGATGAACAAATTGCTGACTTAACGAAGAATTAAATGTAAAAATTAATTTAAGATTGAAAAATTAAATAAGTGTATCTTTAATTTTATTGCAGAGACAAAAAATGAAAAAGGTGCAAATTAATTTTCTTTTTTCATATCTATAAAATATGTTTATAAAATATACATGTCAAAATCGACCCATATTATCCAAATTGAATTAGAACCACATCCATATATTTAACTGGTTTGAATATTTTCTATGGTTGTTCGGTTTGTAAAAGATTTAAACCGGTATTTAAGTTCAATTTAGATAAATCTTCAAATCCAACCATGACCAATGCTAGTAAGAATAATAACTAAAGCTGAAAATGATGATGGCTTTTGTGAACTTTACTCGATTTACTATTTTTTAAAACATTCTTACTTTATTTGATTCATTTACCAATTTCCTTAAAAAAAATATCCTTAATACAATTTTTTTTCCTTAATTAGACTAAATTAATATAAATATATATATAAAAAGGTGTCTAAAAGAATGTTTTAATTACATAACGTCATAACATTTCTCTTGAAAAGTTGAATTTACTTTGTAATCAATAAGTAATCTTGTGTGATATTGAAGAAATTGAGTGGAGTAGTATCTCCTCACAGCCTAGTATATTATCTGATATAGTCAGGAAATTAGCTCAATTAACTGTAACAATTTCTTTGTTTGGTATCAACCAAGTATGGTCTGGTTGGTCTTTTTATTAGTGTGAGGAGGTCATTTCGATTAAAAGAGTTTTTAGACCGTTAGACCTCCAAATGAATAAAAAAAATTTTTTTTATTTTGATTCTCAAAGTTCGAAATGATTTCTTTAAAATTATTTAGTCTAGGTATTTGCAATAATTTGCTTTTGTATGATATTTGGTGAAGTAAGATTTCAACGTTTGGTTGGTACAAAAATTTCATATTATTAGAAAATTGAAAAAACCTTACTTAGATTGGAATCATGACCTCACTTCTAAACAAAATTAATGAAATTAAAAATTTTTATTGAAATGAAGGTATTTCTGATTATACACTTGAAAAAAAAAATGATAAAATCAGAATACTTTTTAAAGAATTTTTAATCTCGTTGGTTTGGTTCATAAATAGAGTCGTATACTCGATCTACGTAAGATTTTTTTGTAGAAAATTTTAGTTGGAAACAAAGAGATGCTACTTTTGTGAAAGTTATATATGGATATAGATGCCCACTTAGGCACATGTCTCTCGTGCTTAAAAAATGATTATTTCTTTTTACACCTTTGAATCTGATCTCTAACCCATTAATAGCACAATACACACACATATATAGTTTAACCTAATCTTTGAAGAAATGATTGAAAGAAACCGATCAGTAAGTTCTTTGACACAAGGCCAAGAATATATTGAAAACTTTCGAATACACTAACTTTTGTCTCTTTAAATTTTTTTTCTTCTCTGTTCCCATATATGATTTTATATTCAAATCAAGGCAGTTTAAGTTTAAAACTCTGAATTTATAGATAAAATTTGTCGAAAAATATAATTTAATTCTGCTGATTCAATCACTTGTTGATTTTTATGTCTTTAATTTGATTTGTTCTTTAACCTCATTGTTCTTAATATTACCATTCAAAACCATATATTTCTCTTATGCTAAAAAGAATTCTAGTAATCAAAACTAACATTGCTTTAAATGGCAAAGAAATAATTTTTTTTTAGTATAGTCAGAAGATTTGATCCCCTCGAGCTGTAGAACATAAAAGCTTTTTGCTCTCCCAGTAAAATGTACTTTACGGGAATCGAATTTATAAAATCAATCCTACTTTTAGAAGCAAAATTAAACTAAACTGAAATTGTTATTAGAACCAAATTAGACTGAATCAAATCAGTTTGTTTTAATGGTTTTTGCAGTTTTTAATTGGGCAATTCGATTTTAAACATAATCGTTTAATCTTTATAAAATTGATCCAAAGAAACTTCGATTTAAATCGAATTCACCCAAAAAAATTGATTTTTTTGTGAACAAACCAACTGAACAGTATCGATTCGGTTCAGTCAGTGATTTTGCTCATCCCTGGAAATTGGAAATTTACTTATTTATGGAACATTGAAGAGCTCTACTCATAATGTCACTTAAAGAAAAAAAAAGCTACTGTCATGAGCTTATTATGCGAAACCAATGCAACTTTACTTGTGGAAGGCCCAAATGGGTTCAAAAGTAAAATTGGGTCCGAGCCAAGCCCATTAAACTCAGTTTGGACGGGCCAGAAAAGAGACCGTGTTATGAAACGTTTCTCCTGTCTGCTAAGTCCTCGAAAGTCGAAACGCATGAACTAACTGGTTTGTTAAACCCTTCTCTTCTTGCTAATTGCCTCCGTTGGCAGATCCTGTCTGAGGAGGAACATGCCACAATGCTACGCTACAGAAACTTGTTGTCTAAAACCCTAAAAAAGAAAAATTTGACGTCTAAAGCTAAACCCAGAAACAAGAATGCAAAACATTCAAGAAGAAAGCAAGAACCCGTGGCCCAAAACCAAGAATCAGCTTACCAAAATAACCAGGAAACAGAAGATGTTGAAGAAGAGACGGAAGAAGGGTTTAGTCTCAAATCCTCAGCTCCATCTCACACTTGTGGGGTCCAGCCATTAGGAAATCTGTACATGAATACTGGCTCTATCAACTCAAGAAATACTGGTTTAGGTAATCTGCAAATTTTAACTGATGAGCTAGTTCTTGATATTTTAGGGCTTCTCGATGGGAACCATTTGGGAATTTTGGCTGCTGTGAGTAAATCCTTTTATGTTTTTGCTAACCATGAGCCTTTGTGGAGAAATCTTGTATTGGATAATTTAAATGATGGATTTTTGTTTAATGGATCCTGGAAATCCACTTATATTGGTGCATTTTATCCTTCATTTGATGTTTCTGGCATGGGAAGATTAAATATGAAAGTTAGAGACTTTTACTCTGATTATCTTTTCCAAAGTTGGTTATGTGCTAATCTTGAAATGAAACCTGAATGGCTTGAGAGAGACAATATAGTTAGAAAGAAGGGTATTTCTATTGAGGAATTTGTGTTGAGTTTTGAAGAACCAAATAAACCAGTATTGTTGGAAGGTTGTATGGATAATTGGGCTGCACTGCCAAAATGGGATAGGGATTATTTACTTCAGGAATGTGGTGATGTCAAATTTGCAGTTGGACAAGTAGCGATGAGGCTTGAGGAGTATTTTAGATATGCGGATCAAGTAAGGGAAGAAAGGCCATTGTATCTTTTTGACCCAAAGTTTGCCGAAAAGGTTCCCATTTTGGGTTCAGAGTATGAAGTTCCAATTTATTTTAGGGAGGATTTGTTTAGTGTTCTAGGCAACGAGAGACCAGATTATAGGTGGATCATTATTGGCCCGGCAGGTTCCGGTTCATCATTCCACATTGATCCTAATTCAACATCTGCCTGGAATGCAGTGATAAAGGGGTCTAAGAAATGGATTTTGTTTCCACCTGATGTTATACCACCAGGGGTACATCCAAGCCCGGATGGCGCAGAAGTGGCTTGTCCGGTTTCCATAATTGAGTGGTTCATGAACTTTTATGATGCAACAAAAAGTTGGAAGAGAAGACCTATTGAGTGCATCTGTAAGGCCGGGGAAGTGATTTTTGTGCCCAATGGATGGTGGCATTTAGTGATCAACTTAGAAGAATCCATTGCCATTACTCAGAATTATGTCAGCAGGTGTGTTTTTCTGTTCATTCTGTTATGATAGTTTTGACAAATAAGCTTTAAGAATTTCATCAGAGCACTAAAAGTAGATTCCATAGTAATCTTGAGAAACGTTTTAGCATGATTTGCTCTATTAGAATCGATGTGCCATTTAAGATTGGTCTCACTTAAAGTTTCTTAAGTTAATAACTGGAGCAACAATTTATGAGAGTTAAACCAAAATATTAGTTCTAACTGTTTGCCAGAGGATACCCAGTATTCAATAATCCAAAGTATGGTAAGCACAGCCTACGAAGTGGGAAAATCAATGACAATGCATATGATAAGCTAGTATTGGTTCACAACTCCCTGATATTAAATCATATTTTAAGAGCATGAGGTTGCTTTAGCTTATTGCCATTTAAAATTGCTTTCAACAACTTAATTTGCATGTAGAAGTATGTGAAAGATCCAACTGATCTAAGTAGGCTCAGTTCGGTTGCTAAGGATTCAGATCCATTTATCATCCAACTGATCTAAGTAGGCTCAGTTCGGTTGCTAAGGATTCAGATATTTTAAAAATTGCTTTCAACAACTTAATTTGCATGTAGATCCAACTGATCTAAGTAGGCTCAGTTCGGTTGCTAAGGATTCAGATCCATTTATCATCCAACTGATCTAAGTAGGCTCAGTTCGGTTGCTAAGGATTCAGATCCATTTATCATCCAACTGATCTAAGTAGGCTCAGTTCGGTTGCTAAGGATTCAGATCCATTTATCATCCAACTGATCTAAGTAGGCTCAGTTCGGTTGCTAAGGATTCAGATCCATTTATCATCCAACTGATCTAAGTAGGCTCAGTTCGGTTGCTAAGGATTCAGATCCATTTATCATCCAACTGATCTAAGTAGGCTCAGTTCGGTTGCTAAGGATTCAGATGCATTTATCTTATTTTCTAACTACCTCTTAAGAGTTGGATCGTAGAATCAGTCTAGTTATATAGGCTTATGACTAATCTGTATTAATATATTCTAATGCCTGGATAGATTTCTTTTTGCTATCATGTGCTCTTAATTTATGGGTGGCATTTAATTTTCTTATTGACTATCCTTGTCGAGAGGACTTGGATCAATTTCTCATCACTTGTTTTAGATAGATTGGAGCTGGGATAAAAATGATAAGCTGGCTGTAAGTCTTAGACATAGGGACCTGCATTACTGAAATGCAAAATGTAGTTTGTTATTTGTTTATTTTATTTGAGTTTCATCTTCTAGGAAACTTAGGGAGACCACTTAGAGTCTGTTTGGTGTTAATGTTTCAGATGCTATTGAGTAAAGTACTATGTTAAAAATGTTTTTTAGAGGTAATTATAGTTTGTTTTTAAATGAATTTCCGTATTATAGTCATATAAGTTTGAAAACAGTTGAATAGCCATCCCTAACTATTTTTTCCAACATCTACAAATGAAACTTTTCAAAAGCAGTTTCGACCTCAATTCCAATAGATTCATAGTTCCTCTCTCTCTCTCTCTCTCTCCCTACCAGCTCCTTTTGTAGTTCCTATCTAGTCAGAATTTCGCAATCAATGAAATATATAATTTAATTTCTAATTTATATTGATGTCGTGGCAAATCCTTGATTACATCTATTACATAAATTAGCAATAAATATGATGACATTCTGTTTACTGCATTATATGGCAAAACTTGCTTGACTTGGTATTATTTTTGTTGCAAGCCATATTAGGGACTGCAAGCTGCAGTTTCCTGTGGATTTTTAGTGATGTTGAATTGCAAGTGTATTCTGATTGAGTATTTCTCACACATTCGCTTTTATCCCAAGTTTTTTTGGGCCAAAGGAAACAAAGGCCAGCCTAAATATATAAATGGTGTTTTGTGCTGCAGGAGAAATTTGCTTAATGTTTTGGAGTTTCTTAAGAGGCCGAATGCAAGCGAGTTGGTATCCGGGACGCTTGACCGCGTTAATTTGCATGATAAGTTTAAGAACGCTATTGAAGCAGCCTTTCCTGAAACCATCAATCAATTAGTGCAGAAAGCAGAGGAGAAAAAAGCCCAACAGAAAAAACTCTCCTACTGGGACTCAGTAACAGATTCCCATGCTGGCAATTTTAAGTTCTGTTTCTAAGGAACACACCCCCACCCCTCCCCCCACCCTTTCTTTTTCCTCCTCCAGGGCCAACTTCCTTAACCAGAATGATCCAAAACAATTCTGCCATTGATTTGTTCATAAATTTTTCATTGTTTTACTACTGATTGTTAAAATATTACATTGTTGATGCTATATATTATTATTTTTGCTCCTCTAGCTTACTGCAGTTTTCTTTTTTGAAGGTTTGCTTACTGCAGCTTATCTTGTTGTAATGTGTAATTCAGCATCGATTTGAAAAAGATAACTGCTAAGTCCGCTTGTAAATTGTTTGACAAAATACCCAAGAACAATTTCTTTAATGCGACACTTATTTGATACTGATATGGCACTAAAAATTATGTATGTATTCACCTTCTTCATTCTGTTTCATGTGCACATTTATGTGCTCAACTATGAAGAGTAGTACATGTTACAAGTTTTCAGAATTGTTAGGTCAAAATTATGTCTCCAAACTTTTATAATTATAGTGTGATTAACTCACTAAAAATCATCAAATGTTATTGTTACTTAAAAAAAAAAGGGGGCAACAAGCACAATTAAACTAGCAAAACAAAGTCCCCCCTTCCCCTATGAAAAAATGTCAGTTTTATGGACTCTCACACCGGTTAGCAACTGTTAATCATATAAGATAGATTACAGGTGAAGAAACAACTAATTAGTTCAAAGTTGCAAAAACCATCACGGTATCAGACGGCAGAGAGAGAAGCCGTATAATATCCATTGTTGTACTTCAAGGCTTTTAAGAAACCTGAATCCAAGCAAGGAGAAACTGTAGCTTCTGGAATGCCAAAAGAGTTGCTGCTTTGTTGCAAGCCTTGGCTTGCTGCAGCTGTGGAATCAGACTTCTCATTCACTGTCTGAAGAGCAATATTCAAGCCAATTGAGGTATGCTCAGTTACAAAGCTGGATAACACAACACCAAAGCACAAGGAATGAGTTTCCAATTAAGAGTATAAATGAATAACTTATTTGACAAAGTATTTGAACTTGGTTCATTTCTAGTCAAGTTGATCTGAACCCGACTTGAGTGACTCATGAGCATAAGTATTTAATTTATAAAAAATAATTTTCAATATACTTGATATTATATAAAACATTGAAAATTATTTACGAACTTGAGACACTCAATTTTAATATTAATTTAAAAAATTAATTTTGTTAGCAATCAAGCCAAACTGACCTGAAATGTTTCAAGTATTCAAATATGAAAATTAGTGCTCGATCAAACTCATGTCCATTGAGTTGAGCTCAGCAATGCACTATATCACTTGGCTCAATTACCCCCTATATCTAATTAAGCTGAGATCCTAGATTTCAAACAATTTATCATACCTTGCCTCAAAGCTCTTTCCTTCAGATCCCATTAGTGCACATACACGGCAAATAATCCATGATGGAATGTATGCATCCTTAATTTCAATGCTAGAGCAGAAACCAGAAGGTGAACCTTGCATTTGTTCACCGTCTTTAATTTCAGATACTTTAGAAGTGCCAATTTCATCAACTCTTTTCATCTCCACACATCTTATCTGTGAAACAAGACTAGTTCTTAAAGATAAAGAAGCACATTTTTGAAATTAATATGAGAGAAAGACAAATGACTTTTTTTGAGAGGATCAACATTTCTACAGGGGAGGATTTCCCTCCGATATCCTAAAGGGAAAAGGCACAAAATTGCATTGGTGTCAACATCAAACCGATATTTTCTAATATAGATATAATTTAATAATTAAGCAACAAATTTCAAATTAAATAAAATTTGTGCTTAGGGTTGCAACACTCACCTCTGGAGCAGAAAGAGCAGCATTTTGAAATGGAACAGGCGAGTACAATACAGGAACATCCACACCAGACAAAAAAGTCAAGGAAGATCTGAGCCCAGCCACAAGTGAAATATGGTCATGTGATTATTCAAAATAAGTGTATGATTAGTTTTCCCTATCAAACAGATAAACAAATAATATTTAGTTCAAACTTTAACTCCATTCATACCTGTAATTTAACAAAAAATCATATAATGCATGTACATTTTTATTTCCATAGAAAGCTAGCAGAGATTCTGAGCTACTATCAACATCAGATAAGGAGGTTGGTCGTCGAGTCTGCATTATTTTCAGTGAAAAACAATCAGTTATAAAGTACAAAGAATAAGAAGAAAACTCATGCTAAAGGATCTTGGTAAGGGCAGTTTATATAGAAATCTGCTCTAGGTGATTTCATCAAAAAGTTGAGGGTTTAGCACGTATGATTGCCTCATATTACCAAACCTTGGAATCAGACACAAATATAATTTTCAGTTAACCTTGATACTGGATAAAACTTTCAATTAATGGACTCCAGGAAAATATTGGAGATTGGATCCAATAACTTCCAAAGACTAATTGCAATTAAAGAAGGTATCTAAATGGTCCAGTTGAGCCAAGTGACAAGATGACCAAACGTGAAAAGTTATAACCAACCTGGCCCAGATTTTGCTTCTCAATCTCTGAGAGCTCAACTAGATCTTCAGCTGTTGCTTGCTCTACTTTAGAGTGGCAAAGTGGCATGGAGAAACAAACATCCTGAGCCAACCAATTGAAAGTGTCACATTACTGTTACATAAACTGGTAGAAAACACAAGAAATGAAATGAATATGTTTTTATCAAAAGTACAGCTGCATGACGTAAAATCTTAATTTAAAACAGGCTCTTTGGGGCTTCAATTCTCGTCGTTCTTTCTTAGATAGCAGTACCTCTCTGGAAACTAGAAAGGAACCCTTTGGAAACAAGCGAAGGCAATTACAGAAATATCAAATCAATAAAACATCTAAGGCTAAAAATTTTCAGTATATTGTGTTGCAATTTATATATTTTGTTCATCAACTTCATTGCTATAGGAAATACCCTCCACTTCCCAAAAACAGATACTGCAATTAGTTACCATATTATAAACAAAGAATGCAATGCACATGAAAGGTAAGGCATTGATTCCAGACCTGGCAAGAAGCCCAAATTAACCAGAAGTTTGATGGAGAAACCACAATGTAAGCCAAGATTTCATTTTGTAAAGATGATGCGTGTAAGTCATAAGGATAGAGCTTTCCAGTTAGGCTAGCCTTAACACATTCTATTTCTGACCATCAAATTGCAGCCAGAGACCCAGAAGAACTTGTGAAAACAATTATCATCTAACTACATGGACAAATCGAACCCCCAAAAAAATATCAATCTTTTGTTTGAACTGTGAACCTATAACTAATCACAGAAAACAATCCCCAAGGAATTCAGTATCTTCCGCCAAGTGATTGGATGCTCAAACTTACTGGAGAGAATTTCCACTTCACTACCTTTAACAAAATTCTACTGTGCACAGTCGCATTAAGTGAACAAAATTTTACAAGGGCCAATGCCAACATTAAGAATCATTTACAATTTCAAATTTAAACAAAAAAAAGAATTAATAAAAAAAAAAATTTATATCTAGCGAAAATCAGTTGCTTAAGCCAGAAGCATGATATGATAAAGATTAAACAAATCCATCTAGTGTTAACTCACAGCTACTTGGAAGAAATTGAATGTATGAATAGGAACTTCTTACATGCTCTCTCAGCAATGATCTCAGACCTCTTGTTGACCTAGAGATGTAAGCATTGCAAAAATGTTTGGTGCTTCCTGAACCACTTGTACTGATGAACATTGCTACAAAATGTGAAGTACATACTGCAAAAAGTCAAGATACTGGCATGTTAGCATATGGTTCAAAAAATAAAGAAAAGTACCATTGATTAGCTGAAGAAACAGGGAGAAGTATAAGATCCTACACAGATGAAAGTCTTGCACAAATTACATGTTTTAATCATCTTCTTCTGTATTATATAAAAAAGCAAATCAAACCCACACATACAATAGAAGTGAAAAGGAGGTAAGGAGACCGGATGAGATGATACAATAATAAACACACTTCATCCACTAATTCTTAAAATAGCATATTGCTTAAAGTTGCAGATGGTTAGATAGATCAATATAAGGCCTGCTTATTTTGTGTGCGTTTTTACACTCATGCAAGGAAAACCAGAATTTAGCAGAGGCTACAAATGTAGAAACAATTTAAATAGAATAAGCAAATTGAATTACCATAAAAAATATTGCAAATGTTCTTCCGAAGCATGTAATAAAGGCTCCGAAATGAATCCTCCCATCCCAGCTGCCGTTTTGTTAAAAAATCTATTTCCATTGAGTGAAAAGCAAACACTTCAAAAAAAATAAAGAAGAAAGGAATAGATAAATCCAAGTATTTTTCTTTTTTTATTATTTCACAGACCTCCCTCCGCTGCTTGTGAGCTTAATACTGATATGACAGAAGGAGGTAGAATAGACTGTGGATAAACCCATGAATGCAATGCTCTAGAACTAAGAATCTGGGAAGTTGATGCCCACCCTGAGCTGCCACCATTCTCAGGACCATCAAGTTGGGATGTGAACTGTGGCATGCCATTATAGGCACTGCACATAATTGACCTATGGATCCTGCAAATTGCAAAAAAAGATGTTAATTAAATAACAATAATAACTTGCAATATCAACTCATTAAAGAGGTACTGCACACTTCTGAACAAGGAATTTTAAGTTTGTGTATATTCAGTTGTGAATATGGAACTTCTGAAACATATAAATAGGCTAAAGAAGTCATTCAAAAATCACACAATGATCATTCTATAAATAACCATGTACAATTCCAAAAACATTTTTTAACCCTTCCTAGACATCAAAAATAAAAGATTTCGCACTCACATGAACATTTCATCAGACCATTGATAACTAAGCATTGTAAACGGGAAAATTACTTGATTCACCGCGTTTTTAACACACATGTAGCAAGAAATAGACTAACCGGGAAAATTGACTAGATTCTATCTTATCTCAAAAAACAGACACCAGACAAACTAATGAAGGAAATAACAGCTTTCAGATATAATAACACACTAACCAATTCACCGAGCAATAGGATGCTACTCGCATTTTTGTTTTCAAAGTAAAATCAAGAGGAGCCTTTTGGCCTGGCACAAGGCACTCAGAGCAGAAATTGCCAGAATGAATTGGTGTATGATTGCCAAAATTTGCAGAACAGTCAGCAGTTAAACCAGAATTGGGAGGAGGTTCATGGGCAACCAGTCCTTTCAACGCTTTATCCTGCAGAAATAGGTAATACTTACTTAGCGCATGCACATAATTAAAGTAATCAGAAGGAACAACTAGAAAGAAAGTTTAAAATATACCATATCACAAAGAGCCACACCAGATGATCTTTCACCATTTGATGAAAGTTCAGCAACGCTTCGGAATATACTTTGAGTACATCTTCCTATTGGTTGTTGAGATTGCAACTTACCCTCCTTGGAAACCATACAGGGAGCAGCAGAATTCTCTGGACTGCAAGGAGAAGTAAAGTAGGATCAGTGAGAAAAATGAGAGTTCACTCATTCTAGTATCATATATTGTGCTAGAAAGCATACCACAAGAGTTGTCTCTTGGCAGCCAAATTTGAAAGAAATGATATATTCTTCATGCTATTGGTTTGTTCAGTTGATTTGTTTTCCTGTTTTCAGTTAGAAGTATACCAAACAAATATCTATGACAAACGGCATCCAAATATATATTCACTACATTAGAATCAGAAAACCAGAATTGAAAATGTAACAACCTTAGCATTTTCCTTCACAGAAAGCACCCTGAGCCTGAATTTTTTTACAGGATATACTTCATCCATACGGGTGTCAATGTATCGAGCATTCCTTGGTAAATCTGGTTTCTTAAGTCCATTATCAATAATGTTACTGGGTCATTAGAAAGAATGTGTCAGGACATTATCCACTAAAATAAAAGGAGGGGAAGGGAAGAGATTAGAGAAGGAACTCACTTCACTGAACCAGGCAAAGGGACTGGAGATTCATCTACATTCTCTACAATATTCGTTCTCTTCAATTGCTCTCCCTGTATGCCAACAAGTGCAACAGAAAAATGAGGATTTTCTCTATTTCATGGATTTGGAAAGATTCTAGAGAGAAATTTTGAACTGAATACATTAAGGGCTATTTCTTTGGAAGCATTAAGCCAATGTAGAGTGCTTTCAATTCCTATTTGATATATGGATCTTAATTATCTAGAAAAGGGGAAAAAAGGGAAATCCATCCTTCAATTATTGCTGATGGGTAAAGCAAAATCTACATTCAATTCTTCTCTCTTTTTTTTTTACTTGTATTTGTACGTGTGTTTCTGCAAAAACATGGAGTAAAAAAGATCATACGGTCAAAACTCACTCTCAGTTCTGATGGAGTCTTCCTTTTGACCATTGGAGCAACATTTAGAGTAGCCCCGCCAATTTGAAGAGAATTGGAAGCTACAGAACCAGGTTTAGCCACCTTTGCCATAAAAGCTCTCCCAAATGCAGTTACCTCTCTCCTTCGCCAATCTACTTGTTACTTATAACTGCATCAAGCATTGTTCAGTAAGCACAACTGTAGTTAAATATAACTTAAGTTTCGAACCACAGGAAAAAACAAAAGTTGTAGATAACTAACATGCTAGTTTTCAAAAGAATCCAGAAATAGCACCAATCAAGCTCATCTATTGGGTATTTGGAATTAATATACATAGCAATCAGAATCAAGGTAAGGTAGGAGATAGAGAAAAACCACCGCCAAGAAACCAACCCCCATTTTTTTATCATAAAACTATTACTGTCAAATTCATTATCAAGCAATGCTCTATGTTTTAGCTTTCATTTACAATTGATTATTGCGAGTTTCAAGGGAAAACATATTGAAACTTTAATTTAACAACAACAAAAAAAAAAAAAAAAAAAAAAAAAAAAAAAAAAAGTTTAGCTTTCATTTTACAATTAATTATTGCGAGTTTCAAAGGGAAAACATATTGAAACTTTAATTTAAACAACAACAAAAAAAAAAAAAAAAAAAAAAAAAAAAAAAAAAAGCAAACACCATCATAGTACAATATAGCTACTAATGCTTTCAAACTTCTGCTAGTTCGTTCAAGAGCCAACACCAAAAAACTTTCGAAGAAAAAAAAAAAAAAAAAAAAAAAAAAAAAAAAAAAAGCACACCATCAAGTACAATATAAGCTACTAATGCTCAAACTTCTGCTATTCGTCAAGAGCCAAACACCAAAAACTTCGAAGAAAACAGTATCCCCAATAAATTTGAGGATTCAAGCTCCAAAAATGAGCACTTTGTAAACCGAAAGAGCATAATATGCTAATAGCGTCCATTTCTTATTTGATTTTCATTTAAAGCATCGATAAAGAATGAACCAAAATAAGAGCAGTGTAGAAACATAGATTTGGGCAAAGATTAACAAAGGACAAACAGTTACCAAATTAACTCATAATCGAACATTTAAAGACTAGTACCTTACCTTTTTGAAGGAAAATCTCACCGAGAACAGCATCAAAAATCACCCAAGAGAATCTTGCAAAGCGATCCCAAATCTGGGGTTTTCCCTCGATTTGCCCTAGATTAAGGGTTTAGAGAAAAATCAGTTTGCAGCAAGCGGAAGAGAAAGAGAGGGAGTTGATGAGTTGCAGTAAAATGAGCGAATTCCAATTTTTTGTTTTGAAGGTTTTCGTGCTTTTAATTTCCCTCCTGTAATTGACGACGTTAGCGTTTGACATTAACGGTCACAACCTCATAGAAAGGGGACCAACGGCCGTTAAATAGGCGCTTCTAGACATGAGTGTGTGCACTGGCCATGAGATTGTGACGCGTGGAAAATTAAAAGCGAACTGGACCCTTCGATTGACAAGGCGGATTTGGGAGTGTGATAATAAGATTATTAATTCAACATTTAAGATGAAAGAAAATATATTATCTACATATCACTTAAATTTTAATAATCTTTACTTAAGCTTAAAATTTACAACGAACAATAAGTAAATAAGATTTTAAACAAAAAAAATAGCAAAATTGGTAGTTGACCCTTAGCTTGAAAAACTTTATAAAATTTCTTTTAGAAATTTAAATTTTTCTGTTATAAAAAAAATTATAAATTCAATAAAAAATTAAATATCAGGAAACAAAATTGTAGTAAATATATGAAATTTTTTACAAAAATTCCACAAAACTTATATCATTCAATGACTCTTCAATCTCCAATTTTAATATTATGCAATGTTTCTATTTGGATATTTGATCATTTGAATCGAATGTCTATCTGAAATTTGATATAATGCTTATTTTTTGGAAAATTTTAATATGCTAAATGCATGCTTTGTATAACAAAGAAAAAAATTTGTTGTCCCCCAGGTTTTAAGGCACTTTAAATTTTATAGAGACCTTAAATTTATGATACACCAGACTTTGAGGCACTTCAAATTTTAAGAGAAACCTTATATCTCTAAACTTATGAATTTAACATTATAACTCTCTTCATATTAGTAATAATAGTTTTTGGGTGTTTATGATATTTATGTGCAAAATATTTACTTAATATGTGTTTAATATAATTTTTTAAACAATAATTTTTCATATTTTTTAACCATCGAATAAGTATTTAATCGATCTAATTTTATAAATTTAAATTTTTAATAGAATAATTTTTATAAATTAAAATATTTAATAGATATAGTTTTATAAATTAAAGTGTTTTCTAAATACAAAAGTGAATTTATGCATCAAACCGGACTTGGGATCGCATAGCGCAGGATGATATACACTGTACATATGCAAATGACCATTTCATCCTCCAGTGGCTGGGGAAGAAGGAATGGTAACCAATTCAAGGATAAGCTAAGCTATTGTCCGGCTAAGAAAATCCTATGATGGGATGGCAGTGCCTCTTCTCTTTGGATATATGTATTTGTATTGCTTCTTCGATGAAATGAAATCAATCTACCAAGTGCCAATTGTTCAAACAAGAGGCTGCAACTTGAAAACTCAATCAAAACCATGTAATTAATTTTAATAAATGAGTTACTAATAACACTATTAGATCTCATATTCGAGGAAATAAAGTCGAAACCTTTCACGATCTGTCATCTTAAGCTGGATCGACATTAGAACCTAAATGGACTTAAGGCTGCCAAGACCCACAGTAGACCTGAAATGTCAAACATATACAATCTTGTTTACATAATTGGTCTCAGACACATTGCAATCATCACCTCAACTCATTCCAGGCTCACCGGCCCATCTCATTTCAATAAATAATTCATATAAATATCATACTGGACCCTCATTGTTACATAACATAAATATTAGACTATGATTACAATTATTAACAAAAATTTCCAATATATACATATAAGTCAATCGCGGAACTAGTTACCTATATAGTGAGACTGTAAATACTTCAATTAACCTCAAGCTCCTCAATCTTTAAATAGCACAACAGCTGGCTATAAGGTTAAGTTTGCAACATGGAAAAAAAAATAATTGAGAAAGGGGTGAGCACCTCAACTCGGTCAGTAGAGGTAGATAACTCTCTCTCCCCACACACAGTCATGCGAAATGAGGAGTTCTAGCTATAAAATTCTATCTTATGAGCACACTTCCGTCCATACATTGGCACATCACACATAATCAACCAATAGCAGCTAATCATACAATGGATGGTCATAGTCGGCAGGAATCCTCCGTATCATCCATAGCATCAGAAGTCCAGTGACCTGACAGGGACTCTAACCCCACCGCTTGCAAACTTCTTACACATCTATCATATTAGGTTCAGCGACCTGACAGGGGCTCTAACCTGTGCCTCTTGCAAACCCAATATTCAGTTTGGTATCCACCACTTGCAAGGCAATCGCCAACCCCAGCGACCTGACTGTACCCTTGGCCATTTCATCTTAGGAATCCTGCCTCATCCCAAGCCATCCAACACAACACAATACAATTCACCAATTCATATAATAACATGTCATTATTCATTTATTATTAATCTTCTCTTTAATTCAATATGGCATATATGCATTATATGTAATGTATGCATGAAATCATATAATTGTATATGCATGGATGCACATGTATAGACAATCAAATTATCTAACACTACTCACAGCTTACTTGCTTTCGGCTACTCACTAATTCTTTACTCGATCCTTCACTAGATGTCGATGATTCTCTCAAAATCCTTAAGGACAAAAGAAAGAAATTATAGGTAATAGTCCTTTTCATTAAGTTAAATTCTAAATAGTTACTTTCACTTGTTAATTTAAGCTAATCCTAAGTTCTATATTTTGGTTCGACTGTCTTAGCTCTTTAGATGTTTGACTAGTTCTACATTCCTTATATTTATTTATCTTTTCTAACTTCATATCGTCATGGTACTTACAATTGACAAAGTTAACCTGATTACTTATAATCGTTTTGCCAAAAATTCCGCATCGTTCCCCCTAAAATTGGACAAAACACCTATTTCAAATTTTCTACATCTCAATATCAACATGCATATATTCATATATCAACAATCAGCTCAGCCCATCCTCAAGCAAAATAATCTCAACAACGTCCCTTCCTCCAACATTACTTCATCAATCAGTTTCCTTACTTATTCACTATATAAACTTTATCAACAATACATCACAATATGTAAACATATATGATAGTTCTTTACTTACAAAGGTACAACAATTACTTGGTTTAAATATTATTTAATGTTCATATATTTATTTATCCCCAACCCCATATAATTTCATTTAATCTAATCAATTCAAATTATTTCATTTAGCTAATATCAATTTAATGTGTGATTATACTTAATTAAGTCTTACACCCATCTAGTCACAAAATGTTAGATGGTACTATTATTCATCTCCTAATCAAACCATTTGATCATACATATAATTTTTCAGGTAACAGTAAGCTATATCAGAAACTTTCGGCTAAACGAGTGAACATTTTGAAATTTATCATGAATCGGCTTACCAATTAAAAACCGGGTTGCATATTCGGAATCAGCATGAAGAGGAGAAGATTCTGTCTCCGGATCATCGCCGGCATGTCACCAAACAGCCGCCTCCGGCTGCCGTGCGCATTTGGTCGGAGAATCCAACTGCACCGAAAAATTGCAAACGATATGTCGACTTGTTCGTTATGATGAGAGGATCAATAGCATTTGGTCAATTTAACACGGGTGTGGACCATTTGGCCGGAATTCGGCCGGAAAGGTTTCGGCCGGCCTTTGTTGGGTCTTCCGATTCCGGCCATAAAAACCGGCAAGAAAGCCATCAAATCAAAGAGGAAGAGGAGGGGAGCCGTTTGGTACTAACCTCGGGCCTTGGGTTTGCTGGAAACGGCGTGTGTCGCCGAAAAACGGAATCGCAGCGGTGCGCAACCTTTCGACCTTGATATCTCGCGAACGAAGCTCGAACAACGCAAACCGATGCTCGAATCTAAATCGTTACGAAGCGTAGATCATCATAGAGTCCTCACTTGCCGGATTCCGTGGAGTTTTGGCCGGAAAATTAAAGAGATGGAGGGAGAGCTGTTGCCGATCGGTGAAGGAGAAAGAAGATGAAAATTTTTGTTTTCTCTCTCCTGCTCTGATAGGCTAAAAAGGTTGAGTCGGTCTAATTATGGTCCGGTCCGATTTAGCTATAGATTTTACCCGATTTTCTTTGGTTTTGGGTGATTTAGACGGTTTCCGATATTTACTTTTGGCTCGATCGGACTATTATTTAAATCATTCCTAATTCAATCCAATTCAAAAGCTCATAAAAAAATTGGATATTTACTTTCCGATATTTACTTTTGGTTTGAAATGGGCAGGTTTGGTGATGTGTTTGGTCTGCTTTGAACTGGTCTCCATTTTGGTTTATTTTTTCTGAGTATTTGTTTGTTTTTGGCTGAGATTTGCCGCCACTTGTTTCAATGACATTAATCTCTATAAATTATTTATAAAATTGAAAAACAATTAGTATAGTCAAATGAATATATTAAAATATCAAAATTTTACTTAAAGCAAAGTGAGTCTATACATATGTGACCGAACACGTAGATCGTTAAAAATACAATTTTAGTGTGAATTCATTTGGGCATAATTAATATTTTTTCTGTTCTATTTTAATAGCAATAAATACACTAGTTTAAAAATAAATAAATAGATGTTATTTTATTATATTTTAAGTGCTCATTTCGGATTTTGATAATGTATTAATCTTTTTTTTTTTTTTTTTTAATCAGCAAAAACACTAGTTTAAAAATAAAATAAATACGAATGTTATTATTATATTTATATCTCATTTCGGATTTTTTATAATGTATTAATCTTTTTTTTTTTTTTTACTCATAATCTACTAAGTGCTTATAATTAAAATTTTTTTTTTTTTTTTACTCATATCTACTAAGTGCTTTATAATAAAATTAAATGGAAGGCTTTTAATTTTAAGAATGATAATTTAAACATTCTATCATATATTTTAAAAAAATTAATGTATTTTAATCTTTTTTTTATCCTTATAGAAAGATGAAATGTGTTAGTGCATAATTAAGTTATTTATATATTTCCTTTTCAAATATGTATTGCATGATAATTGTCAAATTGCCCCTAATCCTTTCCTAATATAAGAGTAATGTTATTTCAAAATTTACTTAATAAAAAAAAATTTTTTTTACTCAAAAATAAAATATTTCCTTCCATTAAAACTTATACATTGCATAGCGTTAAAATAAATATTAAACCTATTTAAAAAAATATTAAACCAAAATAATTGATATTAATTATAAAAAAACCCTTAAAAATATATACATGTTTTAAAAAATGTCTATATATTTAAAAAACAACAAATTACTACTGTTTAGAATTTTGAATGAACTTTGATTACCTTTCAACAAAAACAAAAGAAAACTTATATTTACCCAAGAAAAATAAGATCTTAGTAGTACCTATCAAGTACGAACAAATAGGCGGACGTACGGTGAGTTCATCGACTAGCGTGTAGCTTATCATTTCCATGAATAATTAATTAAGCTAATAAGTATGGAGTAATTAACATTACTCCTAATCTCCCATGCATAGATCCATGCATTAATACGAATTTTCATGGTTTTAATTATATTTTCCTGAATTTAATTTCATGGTTTTAATTAATTGTATCATGAAAATTAATAATTCATTATTAAAAAAGAAAAATAAAAAATAATATGAGCCTCTCTCTCTCTTTCTTCCTTCTTTGATCAGGTATACAGAAATGGCGTCTCCATTTTTGAACGAGAAAATTCCAATGCTTTTCATCTATCTAACTCACCTTCTCTTTCACGATAAGTCATTTCGCTTTACTTTCTTTCTCTTTTCTTCAACCAATAATTAATTCAAAATTTATAAGTTTTTATATTATTTCTCTTTCTAAATTGATGATTATTCCATTTACAGGCTACTTTTGATTATTGATTTCTTTGTGTAAAGCGAGATTTCTGTAAATTTATCAGATTGGATTTCAATTCTTTGTATGTTTATAGATATTCGTTTTGAAAATCCAGATTCATCACAGATTATCGTTGTTATATGCCAATCTCTGATTCTTTTTTCTTTTTAATTTTGATCATCATTGAGCAATTTTTCATTGATTTAGAAAGTGCATTTAACGGAAAAGAGGAGCAATTAAGGTTTCCAAACAATTTTTGTTGTTGTTTGGGACCAAATTGCCAATTTTTTTTGTTTCCATTAATGGGATCAATAGAGACCAATTTGGATAATTTGGAGTAACGGAAGCTAATAAGGACTTGAATTTGGGCTTGTTTTTGATGGGGAATACATGTGTAGGACCAAATCTTGGCAGTAATGGATTCATACAATCAGTTTCTGCAGCTGTTTTTCGCACCCGGCCACCAGAAGATAGGTTACCACCTCCTAAAGAAGAAGATAGCAGCAAAGGTGGAGAATCAAAAGATTCTGGAAGTTCTAAGGGTGGATCAAATTCAAATCACGATGCAATTCAAAATACCCCACCTGAAACGGTTAAGATTACTAATGAGACACCACCTAAAGTGATAGACCACGAAAAATCAATGAAGCCAGACATGAGGGATGTGGCAATCAATAATAATAAGCCAGAGGAGGAACCAAAACATAAGAAACCCAGTAATTTTAAGAGAGTTTCAAGTGCTGGGCTTCAAGCGGATTCTGTTTTAGGGAGAAAAACTGGAAATTTGAAGGAGATTTATAGTTTGGGGAGAAAGCTTGGACAAGGTCAATTTGGGACAACATTTCTTTGTATTGAGAAGGCTACCGGTAATGAATATGCTTGCAAATCTATTGCAAAGAGGAAGTTGACTTCAAAAGAGGATGTGGACGATGTTAGGAGAGAGATTCAGATAATGCATCATTTGGAAGGTCACCCAAATGTTATAAAAATTTTGGATGCCTATGAGGATGCTGTTGCAGTTCATGTTGTTATGGAACTTTGTGCGGGTGGAGAACTTTTTGATAGAATTATTCAGAGAGGGCATTATACTGAGAGGAAAGCTGCTGAGCTAGCAAGGTTAATAGTTGGTGTTGTGGAAGCATGTCATTCTTTAGGTGTTATGCACAGGGACTTGAAGCCTGAGAATTTTCTATTTGTTAGTCAGAAAGAGGAAGCACCACTTAAAACAATAGATTTTGGGCTCTCGGTGTTTTTCAGACCAGGTACCTTAGCTGTCACTATTTTGTTCTTTTCTTTTCTTTTTTTTTTTCTTTTTTTTTTGAGAAAAGTCACTATTTTGTTCTGGTAATTCGTAAGTATCACATTTCCATTTTTATTTCTGCACATACAGGAAAGTTTTTTTTTTTTCTTTTTAATTTTTTAATGATTTATTTTGTGTAGGGAAATTGTAAGTTATGAATGTAACACTGTTATGAACACACACACAGACACATTCCTATAATGGCAGTGCATATGTTGTGAACAAATTTGTGCTTACTGATTTTATGAAGTTTGTAAAGATGCAAGAATAAACATAAGAAAAAGCTGCCATTAGGGGAAAACAAATCCATTTTTTTGTTTTTTTTTTTTTTTTTTTTTTTTTTTTTTTTTTTTTTTTTTTTTTGGGGGGGGGGGGATGGGGGGGGGGGGGATGGGGTTAGTATTTTAGTTTTATCTGCAATTTGCTAATAAAGAGTTAAATCAAGCATTTGGCGTGAACTTTTCGGTTTGGATGGCTAATTATATTCGTGTCTATGATTTTTGTTCCCTTTAAACATGTGAGAGTATAAATGATATTACTTTCCAAAACATAAACTTGCCAGATTTGATATTATTTTTGCTCCTATAAATATATTTGTGAAATAATAATGATTATTATTGTCTACAGCAGTGCACGGGTTATTATCTAGTAGCTATGTGGAGACGGATTAATCATTTATATAGTAGTTAGGTAATGCGATTCTGTAGTTAAACTTTTGTTCTTGCACTCATAGATTGTCAACTAAACAAACAGTTTCTATCTTGATATTATATCCAATAAATAATATCTTCTTTTTCTCTTGTTTTTCCATTCTTCCTCTCGAGTTCAAGGGAGAGGAAGAGAAAGCACGGGTTTGAATCATACAAAATGGGTAACCCATGAGCATGTTCTATTAATATCTAATGCATGCGAAGAGGAATTGAGATCTTTAACGTGCAAGACTAGGCATCTAAGTGCCACACTAGTCGGAGCTCTCTGGTCAGTGTTTGGATAAAGCTGAATCTGGAGGGTACTGCATAAGAATCCTTGAGAAGCTTCTGCAAGAGGAGACATAAGGATGGTATAAGAAAGTAGTAAATGAATTCCCAGTCATGTTTGCATCTATACCTAAGCAATGGCTAAATTTTTGGGCTATTATAGTTTTCTAAATGGCTATAATGGCTTGGGAAGAGGGCTATCGGCAAGTAGTTTTAGAAACAGAATCCTAATGCTATTGGTGGTTCAAGGTTTGTCAAGTGACATTAGATCTTTCTTTCCTAAACTCTTATTTTCTTCAATCTTGTGAGCAAAGAATTGGACAGCGTTATAGTTGAGAAAGCAATTTTGTCTCAGGTCTCTGCAAAAGTTTTCTTCCAGTTTCCTGTAAAAGTAAATAGTTATTAAATGCCTCTGGATGAGATTTCTCTTATTCTTTAAAGAGATGTAATAATGGTTGTACTCTAGCTTATTCAGTTAACTAGGTTCTTGGACACGACCTGTGTTTTCAACCAGAAAAATATTCAATGGCTGAAGGCTTATAATCCAATACTGGTTAAGAACTCCTGTTAAGTGCTGTTCTGAGGCCTGATGACTTTTTCCTTTGGGATGAAATGGTGGGACCATACTTTACAATTCCTAATGAAAATTGCCTTTTCGCCTTATGCTATGCTCATCCTTCATGGAGATTGTCAAGGAGAATAGTGTAGGATATCAGTTTTAATTATTTTTTCTTGAGGTTAGACCAATTCATTGATTTCTTTTCTGGAAATATTTTAAGATCATATACACTTGGATGGCTAACTTTGGTTGAGCACTTTTCTTAGCTAGCATCATTCTTATTTACCAAAGGTTACATAATATGAGACTACAATGTAGTGTATGTTCTAATAAAGCTATGTAACTTTTTAGAGATATGCATAAAATTGGACAAACTCCGAAATCCATTTATGAGCAGAAAAAATTAATCCATACGAAATGAGTGAGAGGTCAAAGATCTATATAGGGGTCATATGAGATAGTAAATGGTCAGATAACAGATAGAGAGTCCTAATAATGGTTGGCGGGCCTTCAAAATTTTGACCACATGAACTGCTGGTTTTTGGTTCAAGAAACATCACTCAGTTACTGAAGGTTATTGTGGATGAACCATTATGATCTGGGGTTGCAAGAACATATTGTTCCCTTGCAATTTGTTTTTTCAATTTATATGTGTGAAAAAATGAAGACTCTCTTTGACTATGCTGGAATGTAAAATTTGAAAAGAAAGTATCGCAATTTCATGCTATTATGGCTTGTATAGTATGTCTCCAACATAGTTATAGATTTTCCTGTATCTGGTACAGTTTCTCCAACAATGTGCTTATTTGCAGGCAATCGGCATCGTATCACTTTTGCCCTTACCTCATATGAGCGAATCCATTTTATGCATATATGACAGGAAACTGTTTATTTCTTTGTCAGGTGAAACATTTACCGATGTTGTTGGGAGCCCTTATTATGTAGCCCCAGAAGTATTGCGGAAACATTATGGTCCAGAATGTGATGTTTGGAGTGCTGGTGTCATCATTTATATTTTATTAAGTGGTGTGCCCCCATTCTGGGATGGTAAGATGCATGATTTTTCAGCTTTGCTGCTTTTTGTATTTGTTCTTAATGTTTCCGGGCAATTTTCAGCTGTCTAATTTCTGGGTATGCTGTGCAATATTTGGGATTAGAAACGGAACAAGGAATATTTGAACAGGTTTTAAAAGGTGAACTAGATTTCATATCAGAACCATGGCCTAATATATCTGAAAGTGCAAAAGATCTTGTCAGAAGAATGCTTGTGAGGGATCCTAAAAAACGATTGACGGCCCATGAAGTTCTCTGTGAGTATGCATTCTGCTGCAATATTTAAAATGTTATCACCAGATAAAGCATTAGATTAATGTTTTTTTTTTTTTTTTTTTTTTTTTTTGAATGAATTGCAATATTCTGTTCTGGACATTTTTTTTTTTTTTTTTTTTTTTTTTGTGAATGAATTGCAATATTCTGTTCTGGACGATTGTAGTTCTGAAAAATTTCTTGGATATGTTAATTTAACATTTTTGTTTCAAGCGCAAAGCAAAAATACATAGATGATAAACTCTAATATGTATGTATCTTTTACTGAAAATGAAAAGTCTGTGTGATGCCGTCTTCTACTGGTAAAGGCATAACAATTCAGCTTGCTGCATAGTGGTTTAGGAGTCGAGTGTGTTTTTAATAAGCTGTTTTCAGATGACTGATATAAGGTATAGCAATTGATTTTATTTTTGCTCTTTTGCAGGCCACCCTTGGGTTCAGGTGGAAGGTGTTGCCCCAGATAAACCTCTTGATTCCGCTGTTCTAAGTCGCTTGAAGCAATTCTCAGCCATGGCCAAGCTCAAGCGAATTGCCATCCGAGTGAGTACATCTCTTCCATCAAAAGCTGGGCGTTCAAATTGTGGAAATGTAGTCATTTGAACTGTTGTCAAGTTTGCTCTTCCATTTGAAATGACTGCCAAAAGAATATTAATTTTGAGAGCACACATTTCAATAGAGTAATTTTCTCTTGTTTTTCCTCCATTGTTGTGTCTGAACTGCTGGGAGGGTTTTTCAAAATATCATAAAGACATCAGTGAATTAAAATTATTATCATCTTGTGCTGGTTAAAGAGGTTCCTCACTAAATATTTGCTTTGGTGACTCTGTTCTATACTTTCACCTAGTTTATTTGGGGATGACCTGCCATATTTGTTTCTGCACAGATCATTGCTGAAAGCCTGTCTGAAGAGGAAATTGCTGGCTTAAGAGAAATGTTCAAGATGATAGATGCAGATAATAGTGGACAGATTACTCTAGAGGAACTAAAGATTGGTTTGGAAAAAGTGGGAGCTAGTCTCAAGGACAATGAAATTCTTGGGCTGATGCAAGCAGTAAGTGCTTGTCTGAGATTGAGATTCGAACCTTTAATGTAGGATTATACATATTATCATGATCACATCTTTCTTTATATTTATTTATTTATGTTGGAAACCATTCGCTGGGTTAGAAGCAATCATTCTCTGTTTTCTAGGCTGAGATGTTGTTATAGAACTATTGAAGTTATTTCTTTGAAAAAGTTGGAGCTTAGATGAGTATTTGAGGGCTATAACTGCCTCAAATCTCTGTTCTTAGCTTCTTCTTGTTCACTTGTCTAAGAAATTATCTACCCAAATAAATCATATGAAGGCAACTACGAGTATGATCACCAAAGTAATTGTTCCATATGTGAGAATATTCGTATTTTTTTCTCTTCCTTGTTATTTTGATTCTCATTAAGCTTTGCTTTTTAAAAATTTTCAGGCAGATATTGACAACAGTGGGGCCATAGACTATGGTGAATTTATAGCAGCAATGCTTCATCTAAACAAGATTGAGAAGGAGGATCATCTATATGCAGCCTTTTCATACTTTGATAAAGATGGGAGTGGGTACATCACTCAAGATGAGCTACAACAGGCCTGTGATCAATTCGGCTTAGGTCATATTCGCCTGGAAGATATAATACGTGAAGTTGATCAGGATAATGTAATAAATAATTTCTTACTTGATATCAATTGTGATTTTTTTTTTCCATTTAGTCTCAGGTACAGAATTAGTTTACCATATTTAATATGATTTACATTTTGCACCTTTTGTGTTGTTTCAGGATGGACGAATTGATTATAGTGAATTTGTGGCTATGATGCAAGATACTGGTTGGAAAGAACGGATAACAAAATAACATAAATTATAGAATTAAGAAGCCTTCAAGCATTTGTACCTGACCTGGTATGCCAACAGCAAAAAGAGTCGGTAGTTAATATTGTAATTCCTAACTAGCATTTGCTGTTATATGTTAACAGATTTGAAGTGCATACCATTGTAAAGATCAGGCATGCTTCAAAGTGTGGGTGAGCCCATGAGAGTGAGTGTCCTATTCATTTTAGTTTTTCTATTCCTTGTATTTATCTTTCAGTTTTCTGTTAAGTATATCAAGTCGGATTAGAATGCAGATCTCTAAGTTGAAAGCATCATCATTCATGATTACCCCTTTTTCTTTGTTCAAACAATTGACAATATATTTCTGTTGCTTTGTTTTTTATTGCGATACAAATATCTGAAATTATACCTAAAATTTTCGGATTCAAATGTTGGAACTGGATCATAAGGAAGCAAATTCTTGCTGGCAACTACTGGTTCTGATTTATTGACATTAATAATAATACTGAGATGAATTGCTTGGTCTAGTTCATTGGCTCACAGCTGCTTAGCTTCTTATTTTGCCTGCAAGGTATTCTCTCCTTATTGGTCAAGATCGCCAGATCATGGATGTGTACATGAGTTGAACTATATTTTGTGTAGCTTTAACTTTTGTTCATTTATTAAACAAGCCTAAAAAAATAATCTTGAACAAAAATTCGTAAGCTTAGGCAGTCTTTTATTAAGCTAAGCTCCTAGCTTCTACTAAGCGGAGCTTTGAGTAGGTTAGCTTGGTTGATCCATAACTTGTGTCTTGTATTGCCTAAGGAGACTATTTCAGCAGCATGGATGAATGAGAAAATATCTCAAAGTAGATATGCATGAACTCAATTATGTGAATGGTATCTTTTGCCTTTAGCAATAGAAATTTCCATTAATGAGCTAGTATATGCTAAAACTGTCAAAAGTGGGTGGAAATGTCCAGATTCAGAAGGCCTTTGGCATATTTTAGTTAAGACAGATACAATGTCATCACCCACGTTTATCAGAGTCCTTGGCAGTAGGTCTAGGAGCATTGAACAGGGTTAATTTGCTTCTGTTGCTTCATTTCAAGGACATTTTTTGAACAGTTTCACAGAAAGATCCTTGCATTTTCCTCCATTTGGACATTGTTGATCGGTTATGCCTTGTGAAATTTAGCTTTGGGTTGGTTTGTTTCCGTATAAGACACAAGAGAAAGCAACATAACAATGAACCACTAGATGCCATTGTCTGTAGGGTTTCATTTAGTTGTCTTGTACTACTGCAATTTCTGTAAAAAGCAAAGAAAGAATAATTGAACCTGAACCTGTACCTTAGGGGGTCATCATAATGAGCCTGCAAAATATGGCTGTCAGAAAAGTCCTTAAACAAACAAGAAAAAGCCATCCATATCCCATACTCCATATTACCTTTTTTTTTTTTTTTTTTTTTTTTTTTTCGGCTACCGATCATCAGCGTCCAGGACAACAGATACGCACATTTACAAACACAGCGTGACGCGCCATCGAAAATAGAAAATGATCGAATCGATCTACACCCTCACGTAGCTATGTGCATACTGCTGCAGCACTAGGCTAGACACAAAACCTTGAAGATCATGTATCTAGCGAGATGGACAGCGTATCCTCCTGAATACTGACGTCCACCTCAGCTCACCTCTAACAGATAACACGCGAGATAGTCTAAGCACGAAATTAATCATCGTAAACACGCTCATCACTTTGTATACCTTTTTTTTTTTTTTTTTTTTTTTTTTTGAACAATGGCAACTATTTAGTGATTTGTGTTTTGATTATAATTACATGCACCTCAAAGTTCTTAATGGAGATTTACCAACTTGGTCTTAAATCCTATTAATCTAAATCAATATTAGGTTTCTGAAGATGAATTTTAATTGAAAAGGCATGTTGTTAACTAAACTTTTAAAGGGAAAAATTAATATCCCGTTACCTTGAGGTATTGCCATAATATTTAAAGTAGTCCCTCAAACAATTCTTTTCTGCTTGCTAGATATACATATATTAGCATGTAATAACGTCCCTCGAGCTTTGGCAACCGTCATATTAGTTTGGTCCCTTGGTCGTCAAAAAAAATACAATTTTCCATATTAATTTTGAGAGGGAGAAGAGAAAAATATAAGGGGGGGGGTACACCGGGGGAGGGAAATTATCCTTGGAAAATGATTAATTCGTCCCTCGCAGGGGTTTCGCCCATAACTTATTAAGTTACGTCCCTAATTATTTATGTACAAAAATTCTTAACGTCTGTTGAGGATTACTTCCTAATTTTGAGCGGAAATAAGATGAAATCTATCTTTAATAAGTTTCTATTGTATGGATTAAATTATAAAGTACTTTTCCTCTAAAAAATGCCTAGAACTCTCGAAAATTTTTAAATCTTTTATTTTCTCAAAAATCACCCATCGCGGGTCGATTTCAGTGCTAGTTCCGCGACCCACCTGTGTTCTCTGTCAAAGGTCATTCTCTTCCCATAACCAGCATCCACCCAACAAAAGTAAAAGGTGAGCAAAATAATTATTCGTCCGCCTTGGAGGTATTGGACAAATTATTTACGTAGTCCCTTTCCGACCAACCCATTTATTCACCAAAACTATTCCTATAACCGTTCCCATCTCAAGGTTACCTATTCCGTCCATTATTTAACCTTTGGTACCTGATCAAAAAACAATATCTTCGCATGTTATTTAAAATGTCTCGGGGTAACTACCTTAAAAACCTCTCATATCGCTTTTAAAGCCTCAAAAGGACCCGAAAATAATATATTTCCCCACAAAGAGGGAGATAATCTTACCGTCTTTTCTCTCTCCTCAACAATTATCATGGAGAATACGTAGTATAATTTTTTTACGGAGCATGACCATTATATCTTTATGACCCGGGTAGGCAAAAAAACTTAGTTTAGAAATAATATATATAAAAATTGTCGTATTTAAATTCGGTATTGGACGAAATATTACTGTTGGACAATTTATCTTATTTATATGGTCTTGCGTCACTACTTTTCTAGTGGCAAACCTCAGGGATATTATAAATATATGTATAAATGTCGGGGACTACTTAAATAATTATGACAAACATCAGGGACGAAATAATAATTTTTCCCTAATAACTAATCACTTAATGATCTGGTTGATCTTCTCATGTCTTGTACAATAAGAGTATCGAGTTCGAATCTTTTGTACTACGAAAGTTATCACTAAATAAAAGATATCAAGTTCAAGTCATTTTTTACCATAAAAATTATCATTAATTTAGTGAATGTTATTCTGATCCGTGAATGTCATTTTTGATTAAAAACATATGCTAATATTTGATTAAAAGGTAACATACTGATTGTTTGATCACTCAATTCATTAGTATTATATTAAACTTCTCTTACAAATGGAGTTATTCCAAAGACTATAAAATTATATAAAAAAATAAATAATAGGTATCGAATTAATTCAATAAATAGTGTACTCCAAATATACACATGTATATATTATTTATTTATGTTTATATCGATTATAAATATAAATTGAGAAAAATTATATATATTTTTAATTAATTTGCCAAACATTACTAGATTTAAAAACCATACAACTTAGAAATATATATGAGATGTCTATTGCACAAAATCCATTTTATCCTTTAAAAAAAAAAATAAATAAAAGGATCAATTGAAGAGTTTGAATATTGAACCTTTTTGCTCTATGGGGTAGATGCTTCACCACTTTTTACTAATCCAATTATACGTGTGTGTGTGTGTGTGTCTATATATATATATATAAACAAACCCAGAAAAAAAAAAAAAAAAACCAGAAAAAAAAAAAAAAAAAAGAAAGGAAAAAAAACACAGGCAATAATGCTCGAATATTCATGAATTAGATTTTATGCAAGTGGAATGAATCTCATTTTTCATATTTATTTATTTATTTATTTCTTGAAAAATTTAACTAGATAGCACTTTTTCCTTTTCCTTCTTTTTTCACTAGCCAAAGCACAATGATACTCAAGACCTTAACACTCACTATCTTTTTGCATTAAATCCTGGTATATTGCTTTCCCCTAAACTTTTTCCAAAAATCCCACCCATCACTCATTCTCAAAATATAGGCAATCACATGCTTTACATCTTTTCAAGCCTATTTGGCAATGGCAAACTGTGTGAGCTAACCCAAATATATATATGTATAAAAAAAAAATTTCACTTAAAGCCAGTTAGTCTTACTCTTAGTCCCACATCTCGCACTTTCATCATTCCCCATGTCAATTTCATCTGTTTACTATCATTCATTATGGTCCATTCTTTTCTTTTTTCTTTTTACTTCTTTTCTAGTTCCATATAACATTATATATATATATATATATATATATATTATATGCCATTAAAATTAAACATAAGGCAATATATAAGGCAGTTGAAGGGAAGTTTTTTCCCTCATATTTATGGTGTGTTCAAGCCTTCTTTGCACTTAGAGTTGGAATTTTTGCCTTTTTTTTTATCTAATATTTAAAAAAAAAAACATTTCATTTATATAATTTATCTAATAGAAAAAAAAAAATTAATTTTCTCTAATCAAAAAAAATTATGAAACCTATTTCTTATTTGTGTATAGCCAACTTTTTCATGCCCTCTACACGTATATCTCTACTCACTT